CTTTATACACAGCTCCTGTCTCAGTGAATTCAACAATATTTTCATTCGTTAGCTTTACATTCAAACCCTTGTCGAGTATATTGTTCATTTCATACATATAAAAGGTTTTTATTCTATATGAAATGAGAAGCAAATCCATCTTAGCTGGTGCCGTTAATGTTCCAATTGAACCAACATCAAATGTTGACTCACGAACGACAAACAATATTGTCATAAAGAACTATAGTTCAGAGTGTTTGAAAGAAAAAGAACCAGAACTTAAGTCGGGAGGGCTCAAAGAGCCCATCTTGGCGCATGGCGCCGTGAATTTAAACTCAGCTTCAAACGCTAACGCTACATCAGATGTTAAGTTAGAGTATCCACCACTGGACCAAATTCTTTCAAGAGAAGCCAACGACAACCCTTACACAAATGTTCAAACAAATCCTTCAGATAACGTAGACCATTACCTTCTTCAGTTATACCAAACAATTTTACTCAAAGACGATAAGAAGCTTTTGACAAATCTTATAAGCAAGAACCAAATAATTCTAACAAAGGAGGACCTTGAAAATGTTATCTCACGAATAACAGGGAAACAATGTGTCATTGACTATCTCGACCCTGAAATCGAATGCTGTGGTCAAACTCCACTATTCATGAAAATAGGTAACATCCGCATCATTGAAACACCAGGAACTACAGGAGTTGAGTTTAAGTATAAATATTCGAACGAGTATACAAAACTATCTACTTACTATAAGCTTTGCTTGAAATATGTTTTAGTAAATTAAAGCAGTCAGGAGGGCTCTTTGAGCCCATCTTGGCGCTTTGCGCCGTCAGTCAAAAAAATTCAAGTTAGCAATTTGTAATATCTGTCCAAAACTTCTTCAACAGTATCGAACTCATCTTCATAATGCAAACCTAATCTTATTGACTTGGTGCAGTTTTCACTAACACAATATAGCGCTTTGCGCTCGGCGCCTTTGACGCCTTTTTCTGTTCTCTTGACTGGCATAACTAACTCATTTGTTTCATCAAACAGCAACAACCAAAGTTCATGACCTAATACATAACATTCATACTTTATATTTTTAGCTCTGAGTTCTCTTGTAAGCTGTTGCATTTAATATTTTCTAAAAAGTCAACTTCAACAGTCATTCGCACTGGTGCCTTCAGTTCTACAGGCTCTCCTTGAAAGTCAACAAGTCTGAATTGCATGTCTTTCAAATTATGAGGACTAATGCGAACCCATTTACCTAAATGAGTTGCTATGACAGGAACGTTTGGAATGAACATTGAATTGACTGCATAACAGAAGGATTTATATTCTACTGAACCTTTACTATTAACTCCTGAAATACCTGTGACATTAGCTATTTTTGACTCAACGTACAAACAATTACCATAACATACGTATGGAACAGATTTCATCTCAATCGTTTTGTCAACACTTTTCAAAGGAAATGTCATATGGTATGCTCCCAGAAGAAGTTGTACTCTATGACTCATTCTTGGTATCTTGAACTCTTTCTTGCTACTGAACTTCAATGTTCCCTCAGAAGAGAGTTCGACATCTATGTTGTCAATAGTTTCTTCATTTATGAGAGTATCTATGACTCCAGCAATTTTATCTATTCTGTACTCGCTCTGTTAGGAAATGTTACAACACTTCTTTTGTCATCTATTTCAATCTCTATGAAATCTGTTTCATCTGTTATGACAAAAGTTGCGATAGTATTGAAGTCAACAACTCTGAAAGCAAGCGCTTCATTCTGAAGACCTAAGTTTGTTTGTAGCTTTACTGTCCCGTATTCGTTTGGGTCTGTACTTTGCAAATAGAACAACATTTTATTCTCATTAAAATATGACTATTGCTGCATATGCGTATGAAACAAATGAAGCAAGAAGAGCACATGAACTAGTAAACGAAAACTCAACTTTAACCATTGAAGGCAATGATTTAGTCATTGACGATGGAAAAACTAAAAAAGTCATTGATTTCGATACTTTTAACACTTATGACCCATTCATTACAACAAGCAAGGTTCCCATCATAAATGATGGAACGGTGCAATATATAAATTCTACAGTAGATGCCTCATTAGTGAAAGTATTAAATGTTCTCATTGAATTGTTAAAGAGCTTTCGATTTGACGACAACATTAAATGCCTAAAGAATTTAGTCATGAATGAGAAACAAATTCTCGGCGTTGCTGGTAGCAGTAATGATGTACACCTTATGACATTAGAATATTATAACGAACATAAAGATGAACTGAAAGGAGAGAAGGGTGACACCGGACCTCAAGGACCACAAGGAATACAAGGAATACAAGGAATACAAGGAATACAAGGACCTCAAGGCGAAAACGGTTTGGATGGAAAGGATGGAAAGGATGGAAAAACTGCTAAATCATGGATATGGGACCTTATAAATACTGGTTTAACAGCTGCTTCATATGGAGTTCTTCAATACCAAATCGGAAAGATATGGGCGGTACTTGGTGAAGAAGTTTTAAATGACGTTAAAAATGCTTTGAACTTCATTTCAAATGGTTCGGATACTATTAAAACTTTATCTGGTTGGATGCAAGAAACAAGGAGTCAAATAGATACTGTAAGACGTATAGCAAACAATGCACGTACGGGATTGGATACTTTACGACAAGCACAAAATACACTAAAGGAAGCAAATGATATTCTTGGCTCAGTATCAGACATGCATGAAGATTGGCTTAAAGGTATTGACAAATCTTTAAAAAATCACAGTCAGTCTATTGCTGACTACAAGAAAAGTATAGATTTTTTACATAGTGCTATGGACGTACATGATGGAAGCATAAGGAACTTACTTAATGCTAACAATAACTTACCAGGAACTATTAAAGCATTTATAAAGTCCTTTGTAAAACCCGGTGCTCTAACATTTAGGTCTTTGAGAGCAAGAGCATTGAAGTCAAGAGATGCAGAAACTCCAACAGAACCTACAGAAGGAACTGAAACAACAGAAACTCCAAAAGAACCACCAAAACCAACAGCTAATGAAATATTGTTCGAATATTTTCCAAGGTACTCTGTTCTCATTGCATACATTCAAGAAATACTTAAGAAAGCAGACTTGACTTTAGGAGATGATGAAAGTTCTGTATATCTTTCGTTCCAGTTTCAAATAGCAGAACTTTTGAGACAGATATGCTTAATGTATGACAACATCTCTGATTTCACAAGATATGATGACGACCATGACCCCGAACATGGTGAAGAAGAAGTTTTACAAACATCCATTAAGACAGGAAAGGTTTTAACTCAAAGTCTCATTATTGACACCAAAGATGGCGAAGTGGACGTTCTTCAAGAGCTGAAGAAAAATACTTCTTCGGGAGGTGGTGGTAGGCATGAACTTGAAATAAATGAGATAGAAGAGAAATTAGCCGAAAAAGCAGATAAAGAACATAAACACAATATCTCCGATATAAATGAACTTCAAGCTACATTAAATAGTAAAGCGGACAAAAATGAACTTGACGCAATGAACAAAGTTTTGAAATCTCATAAACACAACATCTCCGATATAAATGAACTTCAAGCTACATTAAATAGTAAAGCGGACAAGAACCATGTTCATTATATAACTTCAGACGAACAGATTATAACGGACTACCATGGATATTTAACACGAAGTGATGAAGCGAAGACAAAAAATGTTAATGAAAGAAGATATAAATACATTCGTGCTAAAGGTTATGACATAAGCTGTACTGTACAGTATGATGTAGCTAAAGCACCAGAAGCATTTGGTTATACCGGTGAAATTTATGCCTCTACTTTCAATGTTAACGGTGTATTAGTTGAACCAAGATTTATGTTAAGAGTTAAGGCAAAAATAACGTTTGAAGATGCTATTAAAAGTAAAGCTGACAAAGTTGAACTCGAAGCAACGAACAAAGTTTTGAAATCTCATAAACACAACATCTCCGATATAAATGAACTTCAAGCTACATTAGACAGTAAAGCTGACAAGAACCATACACATAAATCCTTCACTACTGTTAGAGCAGACGACATAATATTGAACTTTGACCTTGGTTCAAGTGCACCATTAGAAAATCCAAGTACAAGCGTAAAAGATACTCTTAACAGTTTAGATAAGAGTTGCAGGAACATTGAAAGTCATGCCAGAAACTTTGAAGCATATGAACTACCAACAATGTTAGATAAGAAAGCAGACAAAACTTATGTAGATGAAGAACTATCAAAGAAATTTTCGAAACCAGATACAATGACATTTACAACAGAAATTATAAATGGTGAACCAGCAACTCCATTTGAATTTGTTAGAGGTCTTCAACCAGATACTTTTGAATTTTTCTTGGATAATTCTATTGAACTAACATTACATTATAAAAGTGGAACAAATGCAACATTTCATCCGGGAGATACATTCCAAATGGTATTTAATGACATAAGTTCTTTAGAATATGTTTATAGAGTTATGAGCATATATGATTTAATATATCCTATAGGAGCTGTTTATACGTCTATGAATCCAATAAATCCAAACACTTTATTTGGTGGTAGATGGTATGAAATAGTTGACAGTTTTCCATTCTACACTAATACTCAGTCAATGAAGATGGGAGGTTCAAAGAAAATAGGTATTGAAAACCTTCCTTCACATATGCATAGGTTCAGTGGAAGAACATCTGTGGAAGGAAACCATTCACATTCAATAACAAAAAGAGGTTATACAAATCTTGCAGCGGGTTCGGATAGACAGGGAATGCATAGATATGATATCACAACTGACCCCAAAGATGTTAGCACAGGTATTTTCTGTGGAACTGCAGGAAATCATACACATGTTGTAGCTGGTATTACAGACCCAGCAGGTAATGGAAAAGATTATATGCCTCCTTATATAACAATGCACGCTTGGATACGAGTTGGTTAAAATCTTTAACTTTACATAAATGAGCTTGAAAGAAGTATTCGAACAACATCCATGGAGGTCATTTAAGAAATTCAATGAAGCTGCAAAGAGTTGGGGATTTACTAACAGAGCTGAAGTGAAAAGGTTCTTTGACAAAAATGTTGTACATCAAACAAAAATAAACCCTTACGACTACTTTTTACCAATTTACTCCAACACTCCTGACGCATACCAATTTGACACTCTCATTCAAAGCAGAAAAGGAGGACATAAACCATTCCTCATCTTCATAAATGTTAACACTCGTAAAGCATATGCATATCCAATGAAAAATAAAGGAACTCGTGAAGTGTTAAGAGTTTTACAAAAGTTTGTAGCAGAACATAACCCAAGTACTTTAACATCAGACCAAGACAGTGCATACCTCAGCAATGAAATCACAGAATTTCTCATTAAGCATAACATAACTCACTACACTACTGAAGACCATAACCATAACATACTCGGCATCATAAACCGCTTCATAAGAACGCTCAGAGATTTAAATCAAGAGCGAGACTTTACCGAAGAAACAATGAAACATTTTCTCGAAGTATATAATTCCTCAACACATTCTACAACAGGACATACACCAAATTCAATGACACAACAACAAGAAGAAAAGTATATACAAAAGAAACGAAGCCAAACACAAAATATCAGAAATTCAACACAATTTACCCTCATTCCTGGTACAAAAGTTCGTGTAGTTCTTGACGACAAACCGTTGACAAAGAAACGTTTAAGGTTAAGTAGAAACTATTATATCGTAGACTCTACACAAGGTAATGGATATCTTATAAAAGCTGCTGACGACTCCATAGCATTTTACCCTCGACATAAGTTAGTTGAAAGTAGTAATGGCAAACTTGCTGAAACCATTGACGAAGCAAAGCGAGGAGTGGTTATTGAAATACTTGGCTACAACATAAACGATGACACTTATAAAGTAAGATATGAAGGAGGTGTTGAAGATGTTATACCATCTAAGAACTTGAGAGAGTCAAAGCCAACACATCTGGGACCATTAGAGCGGGAGTACTGGAAAGACAAAAATATGCCAGAAAGAATAAGAAAATTCTTCTAAACTTTTTCATTAGATGTAAATCAGACATGAATGAGAACAGTCATGATATCATTAATGGTACCATTTATTTACACCAAAAAATAATGTTTATGTTAGAATGTTAGATCTAACACGTTTTCTAACCACTTTTCTAACATGGTCTAAAACTCTCGAAAATCATGAATTTTTGACATTTCCTTATGAAAGAAAAATAACGCTAATTTTTTTCTAAGAAAAATTTTTATCTTGTATGTAAAGATATGATTTCAACAATCGGCACAACAACAATTCAAACTACAGCACCAAACTCGTTAGTCATGAATCCAACATCTATGTTAGTAGAGATGAAAAGCTTCATTCCTTCTTCATATACTTTCGAAACAAAAATCCAGAAGATAAAGCAAGAACTTTTAACAAGTAATTTAGACTGTAGTGCGAAAGATGAAACAAATGAACAGTATCTTTATGAAATGCAGGACATTATTGACCATTTACCCAAATTGCCTGAAATCCAACAACAAAAACTAACTATTCCTGAATTCGACGAAATTGAAGTCAAAACAACTGACTCAGTAGAAATAAAGAAGTTCATACGTAAAGTAAATTATGAATTCCTTGGTTTTCATTGCAACCATAAAGTTATGGACAAAGATTGCGACATGGTTTATAAGAATGTTTCTGACATATATAAATCTGAAGAATTTAAGACCTACGATAACTTTGTTTCATTAGTTGCTGAATGTGTTTGGGAAATAAGAGATAAAGATAGAAGAGGCAAAGTATGGAACGAACAACTAAGACCCGCTATGTTTGAGATGAAGAGAGCAATTGACGCCTTAGTTGTTTTAGCAGGTCAAATTTCAATGTATAACGCAAAAATGAACCCGCAATGTTCAAAATGTAAGGCAGCGATGAGGAAATATAACTACTCCGTCAAAGAGATAGAAAGAATGAGAAACGACTATGCAGATTTAAAGAAAGAAGTAGAAAAGCCAGCAGAAGATAAAATGGACATGTTAGCATTTCTGAACAAAAATTATCCAACTGCTGACGATTTCCTTCTATCTGACGTCAAGAAGAAATATAAAGAAACCTTCGGCATTGTTAAAACATTCGATGTACTAAAAGAAGAAATAGAAGCTACAAAACTGTTTAAAGTCATGAACCATCGCAACATATACCATGTAAAACGCTTGTAAATAGTTATGTTAGAAAAGAGGTTAGAAAACGTGTTAGATCTAACATGCTAACATAAACATTATTTTTGCTGAATTCAGCACAAAATTCTGAGTAAAATGACATATGGCACGTGTCAAACCGTTGAGTTTTCACAAATTTTAAAAATTGCTGCGGAAAGTTCGTCAAAAAAGTGAAGGTTCCCGACGGTTTCAAACCGCCATACTTTACATGAAGATAGTTTACAATGTCAACTAAATATTATGTACGATAGAAACGGTTATGTAAAGTTTACATTTTGTAAAGTTTTGTCCTGATTCAAGACAAGTCTTGTATTTTTTCAGAACAAGTCTTGTATTTTTTCAAGACAAATCTTGTCCTGATTCAGAACAAGACTTGTATTTTTTCAAGACAAATCTTGTCCTGATTCAGAACAAGACTTGCACTTTTTAGTCAGTTTTTCTTGTAAAGTTCTCAAATTTGAGAACAATTGTCCTGATTCAAGACAAGTCTTGTATTTTTTCAGAACAAGTCTTGTATTTTTTCAGAACAAGTCTTGTATTTTTTCAAGACAAATCTTGTCCTGATTCAGAACAAGTCTTGCACTTTTTCAGGAAATCCTATCGTCTAACTTTACAAATGTCACTTTTTCAACATGATTGCATTTTGGTCGGGGAACAACTTTCTCTCAATTTTGTCACTTTTTTCTATCGTCGTGTTTTGTCACTTTTCCCTCAGGGTGTGTGTCAGAAAATATCCAAAATCTTTATAGCCTCGTATCTCCTTCAATTCTTGACGGCTTGACATGTATGACACACCATTCAATTCAGAATTATGTGCTGAATCTTATGACCTTCATTTGTTCGTGACTTCTTTTCACATATGTAACCCTGAATTTTTAACATTTCTTTAACACAGAAAAATAAAGTTAGTTTTATTTTTATTTATTTTTTTATTTTGTATGTAAGGACAGATATGTCAACAACAGAGAACACAACAACTGCTATCGTTCATGAAGCCATAAATGAAGAATACGAGTGGGTTCAGTTTAACAAACAACTCCGTCTCATTCGTTCGGTCAAAGACGATATGTACCAAATGCAAAGTATTTTGACAGCATGTTTTGCTCCAGACACTAAACACGCAGACGACTGGTTCAAAAACCAAAGCACACAAGAACTTTTGAGTGAAATTTCTCTAGACCGACTTTTTTCGGTCTTGCATAAAACACATGAAAATCGTAAAAATTTGCCAATAAATTTAAGAGGTTATTATGTTCATAGACTTTTAGTAAATGCAGTTGCAATGTGGGCTTCTCCTCGTTATGCATGGCATGTTTACAGACTTCTTGACGAAATTCATAGACAAGAACGTGGAGAGATGGAAAAGAAACTTCAAGCAAAAGATGAAGTCATTGAATCCAAAGACAAAAGCATACAGAAAAGAATACCACGTTCGGTACCAAAAGGAAAGGAAAAGAGTTATAAGTATATGATATATACTGAAGAGTTGGAGAAAGAAGAAGATAGAGATATGGTTATGTTGCATTTAGTCAGAAGAAACAACAAAAGCTTTTATGACCTTGCTAAGATTTACAAATCTGACAGAAACTGGTTCTATCGTGAAAACTTACCGATTTCAATGACACCGAATGAGCAAATAAAGGAAATTGTCAAAAATACTCTTCCTCAAACACACTATGACATCAAAGGTTGCACAATACTTACATTCAAAGAAGACTTAACATTACTGAAGGAAAAAATAACAGAATATTTCGATAACTTCAAAGAGGAAGAATAAAAAAATCTAAGCTAATTTTATTTTTTTTATAAAATTTTATCTCATATGAAAGAACATGAATTTAGAATATTCGGAACTCATGACAGAAGAAGAGAACGAACAACATGTAAAAGATTATGCAAAATTTCTGAAGACATACAAAGCATTTAAACAATATCTAAATGCTTCTAAAGATTATGCAAAATTTCTGAAGGTATATAAAGCTTATGAAAAAGCGTATGAAAAGTTTATACATTGGGGAATTGTTGTAAAATATCGATATGAAGACTAACCAAAAATATATTTTTGCTTAAATGACGTCAGGGTCAATTTCTTCAACCATTTCACTTCCTTCGTCAATGTCAATAGAAGCTTCTTCAACCTTTGGTAAGAACTTTTGTATAACATCTTTGTTCGTTATTGTTTTCAGAGATGAAGAATAATATTTCACATTTGTTTCACCCTTCTTATATTCTTTCTGTTCGGAAAGATTCATAGCAATACTGAAGAAGTCAATGTTGGAGTTCTTTATAATAGTATAATGAGTATCTTTGACATTCACGAAGAAACTCTTTTGTTTCAAAACTACTGCTAACTCTTGTGAAGTATAACGTTTGCGGTCAATGACGATAGCTAATGGTCTGACATACTGACCGAACTTAGATTCTTTCACAAACTTCTTGTTAAAGATAACATTAACGTTTGAAGCACCATTGAACTCATTCTTGATGACAGTAGCGAGAGCATTGTATGAAAAGAACTTGCAATCTTGCATGTGTTTCATTAAAATAAAAATATTAAATTATTTTGAAAAATAACTTAAAAAAATCTAATCTAATTTTTTCAAAAAATATTTTTTTATTTCCTACTAAAGATGTATCGGAAGTTGTCTAAGTTAGAACACTCGGAAATAAAACAACTTCTTACAGAAGCTAATATAGATGTTGCAAAGCATTACACAACAAACAAAAAGGCACTCGCTGACATCCTCAATGACTATAATGGTGAAATAACTTATGATAGAATTCATGAGTTCATAAAGCCGCAACGCGGCGAGGACGAAGTCCATGCAAGAGCATTTCCTTTAAATGACGTTGCTATTGACTTATATCATAGACGTTCAATACCTCATGAAGTAAGAAGAGAAATGTTTGACATAACAAATGCAAACGTTGGTCATACTCGTAAAGCTCTTTCACATGACGTTCGTCAAGAGATGTTTGACATAACAAATGCAAACGTTGGTGAAACAAGAAGAGCTGTACCACATGAAGTAAGAAGAGAAATGTTTGACATAACAAATGCAAACGTTGGTGAAACACGAAAGAGAGATGACACACTGAAACAACAGAGAAGAGAGATGTTTAAAAGTGCTATAGAACAAGTTCGCAAAGCTAATAATGTCATTCGTTCCATTGACGACAAACCAAAAGAAGGTGAGAGATGGTTAAAGAAAGATGAAGAAAATAGGAAGAGGAATGTGAAGTCAGGCAATAGACTCATTGACTTTAACATCGAAGCTTTAGATGAACCAAACAGAGACTACTTACACAAACATTTCGGTAAGGTTTTCATGAGACTCTTAGAGAAAATTAAAATAAACTCCCAACAGAGATGGATGGTATGTTATAAACTTGGTGGAAAGTATGAATGTTCTACGTTAAACCTCAATAATATTGGAACATTACTACATCAGCTCTTGAAGGAGAACTTTATATCAGAGATAGAAGCAAATGCTGCAGGTATTGTTGAAATGCACTATGACTTCTTCTTGACAAACATAAAGAATCTTACTGAAATAAAGATGTATGATTTAACAGAATATGAAGGCTTAACGATGTCAGATGTAAAGAAAGGCAAACCAAAAAAGAGACCATATAGAGATGAAAGCACACTGACAAATGACCAGAAAGCCATTTTGGAAGCTCTTAAGCAAACAGGAAACCCAGCACTTATAGAAAGCTTTTGGAAAGATAATGGTGAAAAGAAGTTTTATAAGAAGAGAAGCGGTCAGTTCTGGAAGTATCTTTGCACATTACCTATAAATCTTGAACGCTACCAAATCTTCAATGAACTGAACAAAAGAACTGCAACACTTATGACAGAAGATAATGTTCGTTTATGCTTGCATTCAGGCTGGAGTAAATGAAGAAACTATTGACCACATGAGAGAAGTCATTCGTGTTAGAGACTTTCCTCAAAGTAAAGTACAAGAAATTTCTGACGCAACAGGTATAGCATTTAATGTTACCATTGGTTACTTCAATGACTCAAGACATAATGAAATAAAGAGATACATACCAAAAGAATGTGAAACTGTTCGAACTATTGACTTACTTCTTGTTGAAGACCACTACATGCTAAATGAAAGACTTCCAATGACAACATATTTCATTCGAAACTATATAGAAATCTTGAAGGAGTGTGGTGGAATGAACATTGAAAACAGATGAAAATATATACAAAGAGAGAAGATAAATATGTAGTTCGCATGATAGAACTACACCGCTATGGGATGTTATGAAAACATTGTGGGAGTGCAAATATTTTGAACCTATTTCTTATGGAGAACTTTTCACATATACGACTGACTTATATAAACAGAACCTTGCACCATTTAAAGATTTGACATATGCTCCAAAGTATTGTGTACAACTGAAGAAGAAAGCAGAGTCAAAAGAAGTAAATAAAGCTAAATGTAAGTTCATACCTGAGCACGTTTTCTTTGCTGACTTTGAGTGTAGTACGGATGGCTTTCATAAAGCTTTTAACATCTGTTATGACAGTGAAGATGGTTCAGTTAGTGAAAGTATTTGGGGTCAAAACTGTGCAACAGAATTTTTGGAAAGACTTCCTGACAAGAGTTTAATATATTTCCATAACCTCAGTTATGACATAAACTTCATCTTAAGACACATGACAGAAGTGAAAGGAACTCCCATCATTAAAGGTTCACGAACAATGCAAATAACTGGTTTATATAAAGGAAGGGCAATTATTATAAAAGACTCTTACAGTGTTATAAATAAGAAGCTTAAACTATTTCCTGCTATGTTTAACTTACAAACAGGACCGAAAGAAGTATTTCCATATAACTACTACAGCAGTGTTTTGTTAGCAAATGACAACAGAACTGGTGTCATTTCTGAAGCATGTAAGTTATCCATGATGCAGATACATTTATGAAGAACATAGATTCCATCAAAGGTTGCAGAATAGATGAAAACCACTTCGACTTAGAAAAATATAGCACGTTTTACTGCAAACAAGATGTAAGAATTTTAAGAGAAGGTTTTGTAAAGTTCCGCAATGACTTATTGAAAGAGTTTGATTTAAACGTTTATGACTACGTTAGTATTTGTTCTATTGCTAACAAATTGTTTGAGAAACAGAGTGTACTTCCCGAATGGAAATTTATATGACCTCTCAAATAAACCAAGAGAATTTATTTCGAGATGCATTCAAGGTGGAAGATGTATGTTGTCAGATAACATGAAACAAAAGAGCAAAAAGAAACTCATTGCTGACTTCGACACTGTTTCATTATATCCTTCAGCTATAGCAAGACTTTATACTTTAGAAGGTATTCCAAAAGTATTGAAGGAAAAAGTTAAGCACAGAGTATCTCATGAGACATTTATTCGATGACGACCAAAAGGAACCCATTGGTGAAAGTTTATGTCTGGCTTCTTTGTTCTCATTAAGATAACAGAGATTGGTATACCCAGACACTTTCATTTAATAGTTTGCGACCCTGAACTAAATCCAGAACTTAACGTTCCAAGAAGTTCAAACACTTGCTGTCTCATGTATGTTGACCATATAACATTACAAGACCTCATAAAATATCAAGGTGTCAAATGTGAAGTGTTGCAAGGATACTATTACGATGGAAACAGAGATATGAGAATAAGAGATGAAGTAAAGAAGTTGTTTGAGTTAAGGTTAAAGTATAAGAAAGAAGAAAACCCCTTACAAGAAATTATAAAACTCATTCTGAACAGCATTTATGGCAAAACTATTCTATCTCCTATTGAGTCAAAAATAACCATAGTAGATGACAAAGATGCTATAAGATATGCTATAGAGAAATTACAACCATATAGTGAAGTTCGAAGGTTTGGATGGTTCAGATAAAACTATTTTCAAGCTAACGAAAAGCATTTGCAGACACTTTAACTTCTGTCCACTTGGTGTTAATATTCTGTCTATGTCAAAACGTATTATGAATGAAGTATTCTGTACTGCAGAGGACATGGGACTTCAAATCTTTTACCAGGATACCGACAGTATGCACTTATATAATGAAGACATCCAAAGCTTGCAGCAGAGTTTAAGAAGAGATACGGTAGAGAACTTATAGGAAAGAACCTTGGTCAATTTCATAGCGACTTTGCAGAAATAACACCTGGAAAACAAAGTTTAGCTTATAAAAGTATTTTCTGTGGAAAGAAGACCTACATAGACTTACTCACTAACGATTTAAATGAAGTTGCATTTCACTGCAGAATGAAAGGCGTGAAGCAAGATGTTATTGCTTTAACCGCTAATGAAATGTTTCCTGAAGCTATACAATGCTATTACAATGAAGATAAGAACATTCACATACCTGTTGGAACATATGACAAAGACTCTGAGTTCAGTTTAATGAAACTTTACAAAGCACTTCATGATGGTCAAGAGATTGCATTCGACTTATGTAAGTCATGTCAACCTTGCTTTGCTGAAAAGTTCAACTTTTCAATAACGACTAAAACAAGCTTTATTCGTAAGTTGAAGTTCTGAGGTCATTTATTTTTGTCAGCAATGAGGTCATTCGTGATAAAAATAAAGCTAGCGTAGATTTTACAATACTGCGATGGTAGAGTTTTAAGAGTTGTGCTTCAATGTAGAGACAGTCCTTCCATCTGGAGGCAAGAACACTGGACATTTATGGTCATGAGTGGAGTACATGTCTATCCAAAACTCAACGATTGAAGCCAGTTAATTTATAGTATTTAGGGTTAGGAAGTGGTGAAGTTCTTGTATGACCAATGAACTCATTTTCAACGCCTTTGGCTATATTAGAGTAAAGTATTGCTTGCTTTCTATCCCAAATGCCAGGTGTTACAATCTTTGAAAATTCATTTTTCCTCGGAAGCATTGCATCATAATTGAAAAACATTCTTAAAATCATCACTTGGTTCGGAGATTTGAAATCTTATACGTAATGGATTTTCTTTCTTTTTAGCGACTTCATTGAATGGTGAGAATACAATGAATTGACAGTCATGAGTTCCATCTTCATTTTCATTAAATTCATAATGAAAGTCTATAAGTTGTGGCTGACTACCTTCTTCTTTCAGTTGTGCAAGAAACTCACGTAAAGGCTGTAAAGTTTGTACTTCAATGTTGAACTTTTTCTCGAACATCTCATTAAATGAAATCATACATTGTTGCAATGTTGTATCGTCTTTAAAGTATTTGTATATGTGAATGTTTTGGGCGCTTAAAGACTGTTCGTCATTTTCTATCTCGACTTGAAGTATAAAGTCAACCTTTCTGAAAGCACGTGTTATATACATAGATGTTATGCCAATGTACTTCTCTTCATTTATGTTCACAATCCAGTCTGTTGGAAACTTAAACGTTACTCTGTTCCCCTTTATTTTGACGTCAGGGTTTTCACTACTGAACGCAACAGTTAAAGGTATTTGTCTATACATTTAATTCGGATAAAAATAAACCATTTACTCTTTCTTTGCTTCAGCTTCTTTAGCTTTTGCTTCTTCTCTAGCTTTTTTCGCCAGCAAACGTGGGTTCTTCTGTCTTCCAGCAGCTAATGCAGCTAGTTGTTTTTCACTAAGTTTTCTCTTTGGTCTCTCTGGCTTTTGTTCTTGTTTTTGTTCCTTCAGTTCGGATAAAATTTGCTCGCGAATTTCTTTCTTCAATGCTTCAACATCTATGACACCTTGGGTCTTGTCCGTAGGGCTTGTCTGAGTCATTTGACTGCAGATAAAAAACTAAATTAAAACTTTAACCGATGTAAAATGAGCTTGTCAAAATCAGAGCGAGAGTCTATTATATTAAATGACGCAAGAGGAATACAACATCCTTTCTATTACGTAAGTCAGAGTAAAGATGGTAAAATATACGTAAGAAAAAGAAAGGTACCATTAGCGAATGCAGAGAGCGACAACATTAAGGTGCATGGCAAGGGTGAAGTCCACGAAGCCATATAAAACCTTCTGTTCAAACTGAAAAGTCAATAGAACCAGAAGAAAAGAAGCCAGATGTACTTTCAATAACGACCAAGAGCTTATTGCAAAGTTCGTGAATTTCATTGAAAAACAAACCGAGTCAAAGAACCCTGACCCGCCAGTGAAAGAAGTTGAGACAAAAGAGAATGTACAGTTCATTGAAAATGTCAAGAAACAACTTCCACCACGAATACCAAGAAGAAGAGTGAGAATAATGAAGTAAATAGATATTTTTATCTGAAGTAAATACATGCAGAACGAACAGCTAAACGAATTTACTCCAGCAGAGCATATTCATCAGATTCGCTCATATTTCGATATCATAGA